CTATGTGGAATGTGGACCACAACTCAGCATAATGTAAAATATAGTAGTTGCCAGCGCTGATTTTCAGTTGGTAGTTAGTTAGTAATCATAACTCTCTCCTTGGCTTGGGCCTAGATGGCGCTGTGTAAATTGTTCAGGGTTTCCAATTTTTATTTTATTTTTTATTTATTTATTTGAGCGACCAACATGACATACACTATTTTAATTAATTATTTAATTAATTTTACGCCTAATGATGAATATAATGACTATGATGAATGAATGATGAGTAATTAGGCGTATTAGGCGTATCGAATTGTGACTACGGGAAAAGGGGGTACTCACTATAAAATACTAGGTAACGCGCGACGAATTTTAGAAGTTTAAAGTCCTTTTTCGAAAATAATCCATTTTATCACATCAATGAATACATGTTGTGCTGGCCGCTGCCCCCGGGAGTCGGAAGGCGCGTCGGCAGGCACCGAGTCGCTGGTACGCCCGGACGTCAATCTATCCTCCTCGAGGTGAGAGAGTGCCCTTTTCAAAGCACTCCCTACCTGAAGGGCCTCAATCAACGCCGCGGGCGCGTTGCGGGTGAAGGACCAGGTGCCTTTTTATAGGCACCACGATGATTCGTCCTGAGAAGGACGTTTACACGATGCTGATGCGACGGTGACACGATGCGATGACACGATGCGTGAAAAGGGTTGTGACGACTATGCTTGACGATGGCGATGATGGACGGGCAGTAAATGAGAAAACGGTTCTTGTGGTTCAGAATGCAGAGGCGAGGAGAATTTCTTCAGTGGTTGATTTCTTTTCCGGTTGAATTCGCTATTCTGAGGTCAGATTCGCTCTTCAGAGATCTATTTCGCTATTCTGAGGTCAGATTCGCTATGATTTGTAGCGCTTTTGGATGCTACTTATATACGATTTTTTGCTACTAGCCAGCGGACCCTTGGCCGCCCTATTCTCCTCACCCCTTTATACAATTTTTATTATATTTTATCAATCTTATAATTTATGCTTACAATTTGTGCATCAAACGACAATACCATCTTTAATTTACATTTTTATTATGATGTGTGCGCTGCGCGACGTGCGGTTTAGGAATAATTCGCGATTTCGCGGATTGCGCCTTTTATATGACCTCGCTCCCCTTCCCCCTCATATATATATAGCGCGGGAGAGTGAGGTCGCGCACCCGTCCCCAAAACACTGCCCGCGGCCCCCAAGGCCAACGGCAGCTCCCTCGCACAGGACTTCGCATTGGTCGCTCGCTTAGCCAGCACCATCGACCCTAACGAGATTGCCCTTCTGGCCTCCAAGCTCCGCCTGTATAAGGAGTCGCCCCAAAATAGGCTCGCAGCCGTCTGCGAGCACATCGGCGTACTTACCGCCATCCTCAATTTTAACCTGTAATTATGGGTACTCGAGCTCAGAGAGAAAAGCCTCGGTCCGTTCGAATAGCGTTTTTTAACGCGTTCGGATTAAAAAAACAAAAGGAGGAAATCGCCTCCTTTCTCACTGACCACCAAGTCGATATTCTCCTCGTGCAGGAGACCCTACTGAAACGTTCAGTCCGCGATCCTAGAATCGCCAATTACAACTTAGTTAGGAACGACCGCACCGCCTGTAGAGGCGGCGGTACGCTCATATACTATAAACGGTCCCTACATTGTATACCGCTACAAACACCGCCTCTCACTCATATGGAGGCCTCCGTCTGTCTTCTCGGCATGACCGGCCACCGACCGCTCGCCGTGGCATCCGTATATCAGCCTCCCGGCAAACTACTGCTGGAAAGCGACCTACGCGCCCTCCTAGATATCAACAGCGCCACCATTCTGGCTGGCGATTTGAATTGTAAACACACCCGCTGGAACTGCCACGTGTCCACGACAAACGGCCACAAACTAGACAGACTAGCCGACTCGCTCGAATTCGAGATAATCGCCCCGCTCCGCCCTACTCATTATCCCCATAACGTGAACCACCGACCCGACATACTGGACATGGCACTGCTGAGGAACGTAACCCTACGGGTGAGCTCCCCAGAAGTCCATGCCGAGCTTAACTCGGACCATCGACCGGTAACCCTCCTTCTGGGCCCTCCGCCCGACACGCCACTACCAACCAAAACAATAACAGACTGGCAACGACTCGAGAAATCTCTCGAATCGACCGACACACCGATACTAAACCGTATTCCCGACGTCATAGAGTCCACCGAGGACACTCTCATTGCGATCGACTCGCTTACTAACCACCTGCAGTCGGCAGTCAAGGACTGCTCCAGGGAGGTACCAGCGACGGACGACCGTCGCTGGCAGCTTCCCGATGACGTAAGGAGGTTAATAAGCGATAAGAACGCAGCCACTAGAGCGTACGATCGCTACCCCTCCGAACCGAACCGGGTGCGCCTGCGAGCCTTACAGCGTAGCGTTAAGGAGCGCATCGCGCAGATCCGGGACGGCCGGTGGGGCAAGCTCTTAGAAGAGATAACGCCATGCCACACCGCGTACTGGCGCATAGCGAAATCTCTCAAAACCGACCAACAGACAAACGACATGCCCCCGCTAGTCCGACCCGACAACACTATAGCCTTCTTCGACGAAGACAAGGCTGAGTGTCTAGCGTCCAACTTAGAAGCCCAATGCTCCCCCAGCACGCTCCCAGTCGAGGCAGGTCATCTCGAGAAGATAGACACCGAAGTCGAACGCATCGCGTCCACCCCGCCCACCGAATCCCTCTCACCAGTCACGCTTGATGAGGTCAAAACGCTAGTTAAACAACTACCTATCAAAAAATCACCCGGCTCAGACGGCATATCGAATAGATTAGTCAAAAGTCTGCCATCCCAACTTTTGTTATTACTCGTCGCTATTTTTAACGCGGCGCTGTCCAACGCTATATTTCCAGACAGCTGGAAAGAAGCCGTGGTCATTGGCATCCCCAAGCCCGGTAAAAATAAATCCGACCCGTCCAGTTATCGTCCTATCAGCCTCCTCAAGGCTATAGGCAAGCTGTACGAGCGAATCCTCCTCGCCCGCCTAAAGGAGTTTATATACTCTAAAGGCCTGCTCATCAATGAGCAGTTTGGCTTCCGAGCCAAACACTCATGCGTCCATCAAGTGCACCGCATCACGGAGCACATTCACAAAAACACTCTGTACTTCGCCACCAAGTCCCCCAAAGGCGGTACAGGCGTCCTATTTTTCGATGTGGCTAAGGCTTTCGATAAAGTCTGGCACAACGGCTTGATTTACAAGCTTCATCAGTTAGGTGTCCCCGACAGGCTAGTACTCATTGTACGAGATTTCCTGTCGAATCGCTCTTATCGCTACCGTATAAACGGAGCGTTATCCGACCCGCACCCCATACGAGCCGGCGTCCCTCAGGGCGCCGTCCTCTCTCCGATGCTCTACTCGTTGTACACCAACGACATCCCCAAATTCTCCGACTTAAAAGTCGAAATATCGCTGTTTGCCGATGACACGGCTCTCTTTACATCCGCCAAGTCCCGTGCGACAATAGCCAGACGGCTTCAGAAAGCCGTAACGATACTGGGCGAATGGTTCCGTCGGTGGCGCATAGAAGTCAATCCCGAAAAAAGTGCAGCAGTGTACTTTAGCAGGGAATTCGACTCTATGAATCACCCGATCGAACTATTCGGCCAAAACATCCCGTGGGTTTCGAAAACGAAATATCTCGGCGTCACCCTAGATAGGAAACTAACGTTTCGTCCTCACATCAAGCGTGTCCGCGACCGAGCCGCCTTTATACTAGGGCAACTCTATCCCTTTATTAACAAGCACAGTAAAATGTCGCTTCGCAACAAGCTGACATTATACAAGGCTTGCATCCGTCCCATCATGACCTACGCTAGTCCCGTATTCGCCCACATACCCTACTGCTTAATCAACAGACTGCAGGTCATTCAGAATAGGTTTCTGCGTCGAGCCACCGGTGCGCCGTGGTTCGTTCGCAGCGTAGATCTCCACCGCGATCTTAATCTGCCCTCCATCAAGCAGTTTATGAAGGAAGCGTCTCGACGCTACTTCGACTCTGCCCAATCCCACCCTAATCCGCTTATAGTCAGTGCGGTCGACTACGCACCGAGGAGTAATATCCGACATACGCGACAACGTCGCCCGAGGCACGTTCTCATTGACCCCGACGACCCCATAACGGCAGGTAACCTCCCCACGGGCCCACCCGTTCCACCCCGACCACACTTTTACACACACACACGACACCGTCCTCGCCGGCGAAGACGACGACCTCAAACACACAATATCGCGCATTCAACCGGGCGCCTGCGCGCGCCCGGGCGCTCCACACCGGCGCCCCCGGGCGCCCCTCCGATCGATCCCCCGTCCAATTCAAACGGGGATCGAAATTACGACGGCCTGAGCCGAGGTTCGAACCCCTAGTGGTGCCCTCAGACTAAAGTCGTATCCGTCGGGCAGGAGTTGGCCTTCAGCCGCTCCATAAGTCCTTCCGCGGGTTTGGAGTGCCATCTGCACTCGCCCCATAACGTCCGGTGAAGCTGTAAAGGCCAGCTACGGCCAACAGCATTAGAGTAGTCCGAAAAAAAAAAAAAAATGAGGTCGCGCGTCAGTCGAACGAATGCTGCCGCGCAACGCACATTACAATTATTATTACATATCTATAAATGATTACATAATGATACTTTAAAAAGATCCCTTTTATAGTTTATGCCTATGTATTTTAGGATCTATTTCTTATACTATATTCTATTCTGTTCCTATTTATTTTCAGGGGATTGAAACCACAACCATTATAATCATTTATTTGTCATCTTATCCTATATATCCAAGCATTTTCGTAAATAATAACATAAAGTACTTAAATCTCTATAAACTTATCCCTATCAAATCTACTATTCTTAAGGTGTTACTATGTAACAATTGTACTATTTATAAATTTGCTATATCTAATCGACTTATTTCTACAATCTATGACTATACATAATCTTTAAGCGGTGGTCCGGAACATTATTCTCCCGCCGCTGCAGCGGTCGTCGAGGGCGCTGCAGGAGCCTTGTCTGGTTCCGGAGCCCGCTCTTCACTATCAGCAACTCCCGTTGGCAGGACCACGAGTCGTTTGGTTGGCCTCCTCAGCACGCCATTCTTGGTCTGGATGTCGGCCACTCGGATGACGCCGTCTGGGCCGGGAAACACTGCTATTACTCTCCCGCGCGGCCATGTGTTGCGCGGGAGATTGGAGTCGACGATCAGGACTAAGTCTCCGATGCGCAGAGGTTGCCCCGTGCCGCGGGGCTCCCGCCGGTGTTGAAGTTCCGGTAGGTACTCCCGGAGCCATCGGCTCCAGAAGTGGTCTGCTAGCCGCTGCGCTCTCTTCCAGTGACTCCGGCTATCGATATCGGTGTCTTCAAAGCTTCCCGGAGTTTGCACTTTGCCCGATCCTCCCAGTAGAAAGTGGTTAGGCGTGAGGGCTTCTTCGTCGTCCGGTTCAGCGAGTGTCACGTGAATGTTGCCGTCCTTGTCTTGCACTCTCCAATACACGGCGGCGGCGTAGGCGTTCTCGCTTGCGTCTACGAATGTGTGCAGTTCCCTGGATGACGCGCTGCTCAGCTCCGGGTGACATCGTGGCACGTTGATATGGCGTAAATTGACTAAGTGCTGTGTCCACTTCGTCCAGTCTTCGGCTAACTTCTCAGGCAATTTCTCGTCCCAACCGATGCCGATTCGCCATGTTTCTTGTAAAATGCCTTTCGCTTGCACGGTGACGGGTGATGCTAATCCTAGTGGGTCGAAGAGAGACATGACCGTCCGGAGGGCTTCTCTCTTCGTCGGTGTGCGACTTCCGTTGACTATCTCTTGCGGAATTCGGGCCATATTTAAGTTGAAGCCCAATGTGTCCGTGGCGGGCCTCCATGTGAGGCCTAATATTTTCTCTTCTTTGTCGGCTCTATCTATGGAGACGGTCCTATCTTCTATTCTTGTGCTGTTGTATTTTTCTTGTAGTTGTGGGCTGTTCGATGTCCACTTCCTTAAATGGAATTTTGCTTTCCTATGTACGGTGTCAACTTCATGGGTGATTTTCATAGCTTCTTCCTCCGTTTGGAAACTTTGAAGGTAATCATCCATATAGTGGTTATGGATAATTGCGTCGGCTGCTCTTGGATATTGTTCCTTGTGTTGTTCTGCGTTGTGGTTCTTGATGTACAAAGCGATGCACGGTGAGCAGGCGGCGCCGAAGATCACTGCCTTCATTCTATATTCGCGGGGTGGTCCCTCCCGCCGGTGTTGTCGCCACAGGAACCGCAGGACATCTCTATCTTCTTTGTTGATTTCTATTCGTAGAAACATTTCTTCTATATCTGCGGCGACGGCTATTGGATGTTGTCTGAATCGCATTAACACCCCTGGTAACGATTGAAGTAAGTCCGGACCGGTCAGCAGATGATCGTTGAGTGACGTCCCCCTGGCGCGAGCGGCTGCATCGAAGACTGGACGAACTTTCCCCGGCTTAGCTGGATGAAGCACGGGAAAGTGCGGAAGATACCAGGTGCGGGCGTCCGATGGGGTGGTGGCGGCTTCTTCTGCGTAGCCTTTTTCTATTAGGAGCGCTATTTGTCGCTCGTATTCTTCTTTCAGCTGTGGATTCCTATCTATTTTCTTCTCTGTGCTGTACAGCCTGTTGAGCGCCGCATCGTAGTTGTTCGGCAACTCGACTTTATCTGTTTTCCACAGTAGCGATGTACTATATCCCCCATCTGGCAGAGCGCGAGTCTTCTTCTGTAGTATCTGTAGTGCTCGCTCTTGAGGGTCGGCGCGTGTCTTTCTTGGCAGCACGCCTAGTGATTCTATAGAGAAATATCTTCTTAATTCCTCTTCTATTCTATCCTCGGCCCCCTCACGTATATGATATACATGGTGGACTTGATGGCCGAGACTGCGAGTGGACGCTCCATGCAGCACCCATCCGAGCGGAGTTTTCGATGCGACTGGTTGTGACGAAGATCCTCGGCGAACTTCTATGGCCAGTAACAGTTCCCAATTGTCTTGGCCGATGAGGATCGTTGGTGTGGCGTCGTGGTAACACAGTATCTTCTTGATGCCAGCCAGGTGTTGACATCGTCGGATATCTCTTTCTTCTATTTGTTGTTTGGCGAGTTTGAGTCCCTTCATTGTCCTGGCGGAGATCTCATACTCCTCTTCTGAACCGCATAACGTTAGAGTTACGCGTCTCGAGCTATTTGTTCGAACCGTTGCGCCGGCCAGTGCTTCTATTTTCAGTGGTTCTGTCGGCCCCTCCGCGCCGACTCTTGTGGCTATTTCCTCATCTATGAGGGTGACGGTAGATCCATCGTCGAGGAGGGCGAAAGTGTCGATGCTGGCCCGCGGTCCGACTATTTTCACCGGCAGTATTTTGAGATAACTGCGCGGTGAACGTGTGAGCGAGACGCCTGTCGATACTGTTGCTGTCTCTGTCTTCTGTGTCTCGCTCGTTGCCCTGTAGTGCAACAATTTGTGATGCATACGTGGACAGTCATCTATTCCGCAAGTCTTCGTCTTGCAGTTATGTGTCTGTGTTCGATATTGTAGGCATCGGAAACACAGACGTTGCGCCTTCGCTATTTCCCAACGCCCGTAGCTATTTTCTTTCTTGAATTTTTCACACTGTTGCGCCGCCGTGTGCGAATTTGATTTGCACACGGGACACGTTGGCTTGTGGCGGGGTGGGCTGTCCGTCTTGCTCGCTGTATGTGTTCGCTGCGGACGGATTTGAACACGACGACTTTCCGACGGCTTCGGTTTGTCGTCCATGCTTGCTATCTTCATGGGTTCGGCGCTTACGCTATAAATTTCAGCTTCTATCTTCACGAAGTTGTAGTACTGTACTAAATCCGGTACGTCTTCGTGGGCTTGCTGCTGGCAGTAAACATACCACCTATGTCGAATGTTCGGCGGTAGTTTTTCTATTAATAACTTCGCCACTTCCGGGTTGTATAGAAAGTTGATCTTCTTCAACGTCTTCAATGACACGATGCTATTCTTGACGGCTGTGGCGAATCTGCAGAACTCCCCCGGTGTGTCCTTCGGTGGTGGAAGACTCCGCAGCTTTGCTATTTCGACTTCTGCTATGTTGTTCGGTCGACCGAAGGTGAGCTCCAACTCGTGCATGATCTCTTCGGCCGGCGTGTTTGCTATTAGGAGGCTCTTCATTGCTGACCTAGCCTCCCCTCGTAAGGCTCTCCGGAGCCTTTCTATGTTCTGCGACGGCGTTAGATAGCCCGCAGATTCTTCGTAGGCTGCCTTGAAGGCCAGCCAATCTGTATGCGCCCCGTAGAACGGTGTGAGTTCCCCTCTATACTGTGCTGCTAGGGGACCCGACGTTGACGCTTGTGGGTGCGGCGCGACGGCCGCTAGCGACGATGTAGTCGCCCTGACGATTTCGGTCACTGCAGTTGCGAGATCACCAACTTGAATGGTATCTGTGGGTGCCAATCGTTGGTGAGTTTCTATGGTACCCCGAAACGGCTCCTCTATTCTCGCCGGTGTGGGCCTCTTCGGTGGATTCGGTGGTGCTTCTGGTGGAGGTGGTGGTGGCTCGGACCGCTGCTCGAGCCATTCGACGACCCTATTGTGGCCGTCTTGCGATGCTGGTTCCGACGGTTCTTCGTCTTCTTCTCCGAAGGCTTCCAGTCGGGCTAGCTTGGCCTCCGCCAACTGTAATCGATAGCGAATGACCTCTTCTCGGGCGATAGCGATTTGTTGCCGTCTCTCCTTTTCTCTATCGGAGAGCTGTGATCGCGCCGTTGTTTGTTGAACGACGGTTTCTTCGACGTCTTGTGTCCCTTGTGGCGACCTCGGCGGTATGCTATGTCGAATAGGGAACGGGTTTTCCCTCCGCGGTGGGTCTGGGACCTGTTCTGCATCTGTTTGATGCTCTTCTGTCTTCTCCTCTTGCATTTTGCCAGTTCTGCTTCGTGTGACGGGCATCTTCTATTCTTCTTGATCCGGCTCGAAGGACCAGCAGATGTGCTGGCCGCTGCCCCCGGGAGTCGGAAGGCGCGTCGGCAGGCACCGAGTCGCTGGTACGCCCGGACGTCAATCTATCCTCCTCGAGGTGAGAGAGTGCCCTTTTCAAAGCACTCCCTACCTGAAGGGCCTCAATCAACGCCGCGGGCGCGTTGCGGGTGAAGGACCAGGTGCCTTTTTATAGGCACCACGATGATTCGTCCTGAGAAGGACGTTTACACGATGCTGATGCGACGGTGACACGATGCGATGACACGATGCGTGAAAAGGGTTGTGACGACTATGCTTGACGATGGCGATGATGGACGGGCAGTAAATGAGAAAACGGTTCTTGTGGTTCAGAATGCAGAGGCGAGGAGAATTTCTTCAGTGGTTGATTTCTTTTCCGGTTGAATTCGCTATTCTGAGGTCAGATTCGCTCTTCAGAGATCTATTTCGCTATTCTGAGGTCAGATTCGCTATGATTTGTAGCGCTTTTGGATGCTACTTATATACGATTTTTTGCTACTAGCCAGCGGACCCTTGGCCGCCCTATTCTCCTCACCCCTTTATACAATTTTTATTATATTTTATCAATCTTATAATTTATGCTTACAATTTGTGCATCAAACGACAATACCATCTTTAATTTACATTTTTATTATGATGTGTGCGCTGCGCGACGTGCGGTTTAGGAATAATTCGCGATTTCGCGGATTGCGCCTTTTATATGACCTCGCTCCCCTTCCCCCTCATATATATATAGCGCGGGAGAGTGAGGTCGCGCGTCAGTCGAACGAATGCTGCCGCGCAACGCACATTACAATTATTATTACATATCTATAAATGATTACATAATGATACTTTAAAAAGATCCCTTTTATAGTTTATGCCTATGTATTTTAGGATCTATTTCTTATACTATATTCTATTCTGTTCCTATTTATTTTCAGGGGATTGAAACCACAACCATTATAATCATTTATTTGTCATCTTATCCTATATATCCAAGCATTTTCGTAAATAATAACATAAAGTACTTAAATCTCTATAAACTTATCCCTATCAAATCTACTATTCTTAAGGTGTTACTATGTAACAATTGTACTATTTATAAATTTGCTATATCTAATCGACTTATTTCTACAATCTATGACTATACATAATCTTTAAGCGGTGGTCCGGAACACATGTCAAAGTCAAATTTTTTATCTTAATGTTATTGTTTACTATTGACTTATAATTTTGTACCTGACGAGCTAAATATAATCTGTTTTAGATGGCAAATATATATAACTATATATATAACTATTTATATTAATATCCATGATTCATTCATTCATGATAAGTTACAATAATTCTTTTATATGTACAATACCACCTTCTTTCAGGTTAATTTCATTTTACAACAATACTTCGACCTACGCCATAATCGCTTGACCCCGTTTCTTCAAGAATATAATGTTCTCGTCCAGAATCAATTGTGTTGAAACAAATTGAAAGATATTGCTATGGCTTTTTATTAAATAGATTCTACTGGTTAACTACTATATTGTTTATTTGTTTATTCAATCAATAGGAAATATAGTAATGTAATGATATGTTACTGTGTAGTAGGTACAAGTAAAAATGAATGCTGTAAATATAAATAAAATTGAAGTGTCTGTTTGTAATATTGGAATAACAGTTTTTTACTACATGCTCATGAATAAATACGGTACATACAATAAAATAATATATTATTACAATTTTTGTCTGTCTGTCTGTTTGTTCCGGATTTTTTGTAAATACATACATATATGTATATATAGACCTATACAAACTCTCATGAATTAAACAAAACTAATGTTTGCATCGTGTGAGGAATCAAATCCCCAACCATCGTAAATTAAAGTGTGCTAACTGCTGAACCACCGATGTCATCGAGATTATGTTTAATATTGGTCGCTTGAGCCGATGTGGGAATTCTAGTGGTGCTTTCAGATCTAAGTCGTTCAGGTCAGGCAGAGGAGTTGGCTTTAAAGCCGCTCTTTATGTCGCTCAGCCAACATCATTTGAAAAGTCTAAAAAAAGCATATTTTTATATGGAAAATATTAATAAATTGTCATATTCGTTTTGTATTTAAGTACGTCTAGCACTCATAACGCAAGCTCTGCTTCATTTCCAACTGAATGGAACCGTGAGTTTTCTATAGGAAATATATTTAACAATTCAACTTTGTACATAATCCGAGGAAAATACATAATACACAGATATTTATATAATCTCTCACAAACACTGAAACTATTTCGGGATAAATAAATTTACATCAACTTTATTAGTTACAAGATCTCTATTTTTAGACCAAAATTCTAGTAGAACATTTCAGAAGCGAGCCGATAAAATGTATCTTAGATATTTACTTTGCAAATAAAGGTCAGACCCAGCTGTCAGCGCAGGGAGCGGGTAATGAAGCGGGCTTTGTATAAGAAAATGGACGGGTCATTATTGACGTAAAGACAAAGATAATTAAATTTACGAAAACACAATTCTAATTAGTGGCTAATGAATGTAATTTAATATTTCATTTAATTGTTTCTCCTAATTATGAATAATTCGACGTAGCAGAAAGACCAAGTCAGTTGTAAATTGTAACCCGTATTCCAAATAATTTAATACATCAAATGAGACAAGAGTAAAAAACAAAAGCTAGTAGATAAAAATAAATTTATTTCTAACAGTAGATACAAATACGTAATGGTGGATTTACTTTGTTTCGGTCGACGTAAAATTTGATCCGCCCTATTCTTAGAATCAGTCGCCTAGGGGCAAACTGTATGAAATTATAAAGGTTTATTTAGATGTGTTACGGTCGAGACGGTTTCATTCGAGTGGAAAGTTAAGGCCGGGCTGGTACCTTAAACCCATGTCTTGAACAAGAATAATATTTTTTCATCCGATTGAAAAAGGAGAAGAAATTATCCATTTGAATATATTCGTCTGATATCTTCATTGGTTATTCTTAACCTGACCATGATGATCATTACATGAAAATCCTAAAAAAATTTAACCTCGTACGAAAAAAAGAAATATAATATACTGAAATATTAACTGAATTTGTATTTTGAGTAAGATTTGTGGGTTGCAATATCATCTAAATAGAAGTCCTAAAATGTCCTATTTTGTCAAATAGGACATTTTACTGGCTAGCTGGTATGGTTGGTGTCCCAAAATCTCATAAGAATACACTATTCATTCTGAATACTACCTGAGTGCTTATGTTAAAAAAAATTACAGCTTACAGAAACTAATAAACAAACTCACCTTTGCAACGTGCAATATACAGGTACCCGGTTGCCATTTATAAAAAAGTTAGTTCATCAAAAGTTCTCTCATAATGTTGGATTTTGTGCGATGCTGTAATTGCGGAGTGGAATAATGTCGCAAAGCGTATTTATAGTTCCCATTTAGGGGTCGGACGGAATCCTACGTTGGGCTCCAAATTACAATCGCAATTTGTGCGAATAACTTACGTGGCAATTGTTAACATCCTGTTACTTTTCCAGATATAAAATTTTAAAATCGAGATTATTTTATTTGTAAATTTAAAGGTTATAATTAGTATATTTTGCTAAACTTTGATAAATTACAACAAGTCAAATCAGAGAAACGGTCGCTTAAATTTTAATAAGTTTTCGCATCATCTATATACAGCAGTGGACATCTTCCGGGCTGCGATGATGATGATGATGATTCTTATCAAATTGTGGGCATGTCAAATGTTGCATCGTCATTGCAAGATTTGACATGCCCATAATTTGGTGATAATAAGCGCTTATTATTTTATATTTTACCGCATATATACTTAATATAAAGTTTTCAAAGTATATACATTTCCTTTTACAGGTTTAGTCGAAAGTTACATATTATATATATGAGTATGCATGGATAAAAAGGCTATGGTCGGTGTTTTATGCTCGGGAATGTTCACCAATCCTGAGCAAAAAACATCGCTTTACTGGTACTACCGGTATCACGGGCGTCCCATGATAACGTGATGTCCGCGGTGCTATTCATTTTTAAAAGCGACGTTTATCATCAGGTATGCTATTAGCTTACTTGTTATTTTTATATTCTATATATTACATAAAATATATCAATAATGTAATCCAAATTTCTCTTTCAAGTCCCACATTGGGCGCCAAATTAAAAATATGAAATTTATTCCGCAGAATTTGTTACATTAAATTACTTTGATGATTACGTAGCTTATTTCCTTTGAAACTATTGAAAATCGTCATTTTTGTTGAACATAATCTAAAATTACATCATATCAACTGTACGTCGATCCGTCCGTGTATGTAACGTAGGGATCTTTCGAGCCTTGAGGCTACATAATGTGTGGGTAGTAGGATATTAGCTCGCCCACTACAAGCTCCGTCGAGTTTTTGCAGGGTCGCGTCAATCGAACACAATTTGTTTCGTTAAGAGGCCTAAATTAATAAATGTTTTCTGGATACATACGAGTTCAGTATATTATCTTTAGTTGTATTAGGTTTGCTTTAGTGTTTCGTAACTATAATGGAATAGATAGTTAATACTGTAAATATAGAATGAATGGGGATTTTTATAAGCAACTGAAGTGGAATTGAAATCGATTGCCTATCGGATAGTAACTAGGAAGCGTTGCCTATATATGTACATGAATACTATGGATGCATATCCTTGTGCCATGTGCGTATTTCCCTCTTGAAATGTTGCCACTTTTTGCTAGAGTTTCATACTCAAAACTGTGAAATTTCATACACCTCCGAGTCCTCCGTGCAGTTTTCGCAAATAGTGGTACAAAGTTTTTGCTTCATGTATTAATATAACGATAAAGATAAACGCTAATTATTAAATACAGTTAATTTTATTATACAAATTTTAAGATAATTTAAAACGATTTTATAATTTCCAATTGAAAACGATTGTATTCATTTTTCGGTTATAAACTACTCAA